CCCCACATGCTGTGTGTGTGTGTGTGTGTGTGTTTAGGGCGGAAAGTGACAGAGGAGAGGAATCAAGAGGAGAGAGAGGCACCTTGTCTGTGTGCCGGCTGGCCGGCGGGTGCAGCAAACAGGGTGGGCGAGTGGAAACCTCCCAGGACCTCTGGCTCCGTCTTGCTGCATTTCCACAGGTTGCTTACCGTGTTCTCTGCAGGACTACCGCGAGGACCCGCCCTGCAGAGGGAAACACTGCCTGCTTTTTCAAAGTCAGAAGGCTCGACGTCTGTGGCTTGTCAGCCACATAGGGGGCTGGGAGCTCCCAGAAAGACAGATGAAAGGAAATCATTTACATCTGGATGCAGCAGCTCTGGGCAACTGTATGTTCCCCTGGGTCACTCTGCAGAGAACATTCCCAAACCTACGCCCATTGAAATCCAGTCTGAGTCATAGTGACCCTGGATAGCCAGCTTCCTCCTCCTCCCGAGGAGCGGGCTGGTGGGTCTGAAGTGCTGGTTATGGGGTTAGCAGCCCAATACTCAAGCCACACCACCAGGTGGGCTCCTTGAAACTTAGGTTCAACTAAAACTCCCTGCCATCAGATCAATTCCGACTGGCAGCAGCCCTACAGGGCAGATGAGAGCCACCCCTGTAATTTCCCCAGGCTGTACATCTTTACCAGAGCAGAACACCCCGTCTTTCTCCTGGCGGGCACAAACTACTGACCTTGTGGTGAGCGGCTCCACGTGTAACTAATGATACCACCAGCGCTCTTGGCCATCCGTGTTCATTCCCTGCCATCTCTCCTACGGGAGATGTCTCAGCATCCCTGCCTCTAAGGAGAATCCTGGCTGTATTTCCTCCAGGACAGATTTATTTGAATGACTTAGTCTTCCTCTGCCATCTCCCCTGGGCTAACTACGAGGCTCTCACTACAGTTCCAAAAGTGGGGACATTCTTTGAGTGGAAGAGAGGATTATATTCCAGAATTTGTTCTGGACTCTTGTGTCTCCCTGGATGGTTTTGAAAACCCTCCACAGACCGGACCCTTCCTACCCAACGTATGTCTTTCTTCCCTCTGACCTTCGTGTCCACCAGGTCTCCTGAGCTCACACCCCATTTCTCCAGCAAAAGCCCCCCTGCTCTCACCCTGAGCGAACCCTTTCCTCCAGCCTTCCCCAGGTGTTGTTCAGGGTGTCATGGAGTCAGTTCCGACTCACAGCCACAGGCAGAGGGGTTGCAGCATCCTCACAACTGTTGCTCTGTTTTGAGCCCACTGTTGCTGGTGAGGTGTCTGGCCATCTCCTGGAGGGCCCTCCCCTTTTTCGTTGACCCTCTACTTTATCCAGCTACGGATGGGTCTCTCTCGATGACAGGTCCAAAGTAAGGGCTCATCTGGCTGTGTTCTTCCACCCCAAGGGGTTGCTTTCCAAGATCCCTTCACAGGTGATATTCTCAATGGCAAGAGTAACCCTGAAGATTTCTCCACGCTGACCTAAAGAAGCCAACTGTAGCGCAGGTCCCTTGAGACCGGGCATGCGTGTCTCAATTCATTCCCTAGAAAGACTGGGCTTTCTACTCCTGCAAACAATGATAGCCAGGGGTTGCTATGAACCAGCATGGATTTGAAGGCAGTGAGTTTGGGTTTGTTTTTAGAGATTTAAGAAGCACGCTTTAAGGTGAGATAGAAAGAGGAAAGCTAAAACCTTTGCTTCCTGTCCAGGAGGGGTGACTCTGGCAGCTCATAGACAACTGCCTGGCACATAGTGGGCCTTCGACCAGGTTTGTTGTACTGAA